ATTAGTTACTTGAAAATGTCACTTAAGTTAAGATTAGTTACTTGAAAATGTCACTTAAGTTAAGATTAGTTACTTGAAAATGTCATTTAAGTTAAGATTAGTTACTTGAAAATGTCACTTAGGTTAAGATTAGTTACTGGAAATGTCACTTAAGTTAAGATTAGTTACTGGAAAATGTCATTTAAGTTAAGATTAGTTACTTGAAAATGTCATTTAAGTTAAGATTAGTTACTTGAAAATGTCACTTAAGTTAAGATTAGTTACTTGAAAATGTCATTTAAGTTAAGATTAGTTACTTGAAAATGTCACTTAAGTTAAGATTAGTTACTGGAAATGTCACTTAAGTTAAGATTAGTTACTGGAAAATGTCACTTAAGTTAAGATTAGTTACTGGAAAATGTCGATAGTTTCGTAACTAGTGGACTAATAATTTTTCAATTCTTAAGACGTTAAGAGCACCCTTTCTCCATTTCTTTGCAATAAAGCTTGTAAAACATCCACATTTGAAAATATATTCAAGTTGTGAAGAAAATATTTTACTATTAGTTATTTATCTTTTTGGTGACTTAAAAATTATGTGAATAGAGATATCCGTATTGCAATATAAATATCTATATAGCAACAATTTGAATAATATATTAGTTTGTAATTTAACTCGAGTTTAATGTTAAGTTTGTTACAGTAACAAATAAATGTATTAAACTTTCTTTTGTAGCCGCTAGTCGATGGTTTTGTTGAAGTAGCTATTTAAATGAAATTTTCATTTCTCGACGTTTCATCTAATTTTTATATTGAACTTACAGTAACCCCTGTTGAACAATTTCAAGTAAAATTTGATTTTGAAAAGCATTGTTAGGTCTAAAATTCTGTATAAGGATATCCTTTTACAGTTTTTTTTTCTTATACTATTTATATCGAAGACTGTGTTATATTCAATACCATACTTTCTAACATACTCTCTACAGACGGTTATCAGTTTAAGTATTTCCTGTTATTGTTCAAACTATACTTTTTTAGTTACTATGGTGATCATAATTCTAAAACTTGGTATGTTGAGGTTATATATAAATATTTTAGGTTTTGTAAAAAATAATTTGATGCAATTTTAAAAATTTCTACCTTTTATTAGTACTCTTTATTCACATATACGATAAAATGAAAACATATTTTTCTCATTGCAATGGCATTATTAATAAGTTTATTTTACGAACATACAGTTAGGGTATTTTTATATAAATGAACAGATGGTCGATACTGCGTTATTAGGTAAACATTCAGATTCAGTAGAATACAAAACCCTTATTCTTATACCGTTTTATGAATTAATAATTAATAAGTTTATTTTACGAACATACCGTTAGGGTATTTTTATATAAATGAACAGATGGTCGATACTGCGTTATTAGGTAAACATTCAGATTCAGTAGAATACAAAACCCTTATTCTTATACCGTTTTATGAATTAATAATTTATCAAAAACTTATTATTATTGAAAAATAGTATTGTAATACTTTAGATGTTTGCCAGAGGGAGCTGCTAACCATGATAGTTGTGTAATAATTGAGAATCTATTGTGGCTAGTTGTTTACAATGGGTTATCTGTATTTTGTTTACCACGAGAAATTGAACCCAGGATTTTAGCGTTGTAATTCCGTAAACTTACCACCAACCCATCGAATGACTAATCAGTTAGTGAAGTTATTGAGAATTATGTTGAGTATTCAGTGAGTTTATGAGTTCAGTTTCGAAAAAGTTGGTCAGTGAAAATTATTTCGTCTACTTTGTCGTTCAAACGATTAATCGAGAAAATTCTGCAAGTTTATTTGTGAGTTAAGCGTATTTGCTATTAATCAAAGAAACTTACGTTATTCGTGTACTAGGCTTACAATATCTGTAATAGTATATATTGAAAAGTTTTGTATTTGAAGTTAGGCCTACAGGTGAAAGTGGCTGTAGCAAATATTAAAAAAGAAATAAATTACGTATTTATTGGTACAAGGAATGGACTTTATATATTTTAACCACATAATTCAAAAGAACCCATCCAAATGAAAAACTGGAATATATAGAATCAGATCACTAGGAGGATTTAGACAATTCTTAATCAAAGTCGATTGAAATTATAAAATATAACTTTCTAAAACGGCCATGAAAATAAAAATCAAGCAATCCAGGGATACGATTTACGTTTAACAATATTTTAACGTATGTTAAGATATGGGTTGGTCATATGATAGCGTCATGGATTTTATAACTGGCGAGCGGGGTTCGAATCCGTGTAATCACATTAAATATTTTGTGCACTTTAAACTGCGGTTGCTTTATGAGAGTGATAGTCAATCCCTTAGCGTGGATGGTAGGATGTTACTCTGGTCAGTAGTTCAAAATAGGAAAAGCGACAGATAGCTTTTGGCCATAAATATCCAAAATTATATATGTATTTTTTATTTATTTATGAAGTAATATATATAAAAATATTTACAGCGTAGATATAAGAAATTTAGATATAAAGAACACATCGTAATGCAATAACATTTTCTTTCGGTTCTCTTGCAATTATAATTGGTTTTGAAACAGTACTTTCAGTGATACTAAATAATATTTGTATTGTAATGTGACTTTTTCTTTTTTATTACATGTATAGCTTTTGAACCAGTAGCATACTTTTATTAAATACAAGTCTTTCAGTTATAACAAAACAACCAATAATGAATTTAAGCATTAACACTGGAGATTCACTTTTATGCTAAGTGTTCTACATAACCATGTTTCCAGTTTAATAAGCATAAAATCACTAGTCTATGTTTTTGAATAATGAAAGGCTAGGGTAAAGGAATCGTTTCATTTTATAGTTAAAACAATTCTGTAAATTGTGCGCAATGCCAGTTGATGATCGTGAAACAGGGTTTTTTGTTTTTTTTCGAATTCACGATGTGTGTTATCTGAGTATAAGTATGTGCTCGACGCTGACCACAGAGTAACTTGTCCCGGATCGCCCTAATCCCCTTCGCAACTACGATAAACTGATAACTACAGTAAAAAAGTTTGTTTGTTTATAATTAAGCACAAAGCTACACAATGGGCTAGCTGTGTTCTGCCCACCACGGGTGTCAAAACGCGGATTCTAGCGTTGTAAGTCCGCAGACATGCCGCTGTGCTACTGGAGAGCTAGTAAAAAAAGAAGCGAAGGTTTAATCATCTGTCATTTTTAGACAAAAGTGGCGTTTAACATCGTTAATTCACTCCGAAATAAACTGTAAGATAAGCAGGTACTCAATATATCAGTGAAAACCGCTTTAATCAAATTCAAAACACATACACAAAAATTGATGTTATTCGTTTATCAGACATCAATGTAGAATACAAAAGTTTAGTAAAATATAGCGGGAACAATAAGGCGTTTTAAATCTATGTAATTGCCTGTTTTTTGTAGTTATTACAGTGGCATAGCCAGGTTTTCCACTCGTGAGGGGAGGGCAGAATATTTTAAGGGGGTTCAATAAATTAAAAAACTGAAACTGATCGAAATTTTGAATAAAATGGTCATTAAAACAAATCAAATGAAATCTAATAGTGTTTATCGAACTTTTATTTATTTTTATTAAATGATACAAAATGAGTTTATTATATATATAACAGCTGAAAAATAATATGTGATCAATATGCCTAGATTTTTTCAGGGAGTTCAGGCCCCCTTGGCTACGCCTCTGTGTTATTATCTGACCAATTTTCGTGATCTATATAAACTTTTGCTTGCACCTTATAGATCTCAAATTTCGCACCCACACGAGTGAGCTATATCATCTCTATGTATAGAACAATCTTTTTTTGTACATTGTTAATAACAGCATACACTAACTTCATATTCGGTGTTTTTTGGAAATATCATGGAAACTGTTTTGTTTTTGAATTTCGCGCAAAGCTACACGAGGGCTATCTGCGCTAGCCGTCCCTAATTTAGCAGTGTAAGACTAGAGGGAAGGCAGCTAGTCATCACCACCCACCGCCAACTCTTGGGCTACTCTTTTACCAACGAATAGTGGGAATGACCGTCACATTATAACGCCCCCACGGCTGAAAGGGCGACAGGGATTCGAACCTGCGACCCTCAGATTGTGAGTCGAGTGCCTTAACCACCTGGCCATGCCGGGCCATCATGAAAACAAAAATAGAGAAAGGGATATTTGTAAAAGAGGATAAATAACACACTAGTTATTGTGTTCTCTGTTAAAACTCTCTGCAGCCAAGGAAAAGCTAGAAAAAAAGAGGAATTTGTTTAAATATGCTAACTTTATAACGTAAATAAGATTTTTTTCTGACCCACCGAGCTATAATTTGCTTACTAGACCATCAGTTCCCTATTTTATATCTTTTTTTTTTTGCCGTGAATTATGCGATAAGTTATAAAATGAAAAGGTGCTATTTTGGGAATTTAAAAAGTTTTATATAAAGCTGACTTTCAATTTCAAATGAAGTGTTCTTACGTAAACTTTAAATATCAAATAATGCAAGCTTCTTCCGTGGGCGATTGCTATGACGTTTTACACGAGAACATCTGACGTCATGATAACGTACGTGACATCTGCAGGAGTTGATGCAGTTCCCGCCTACTTGAGCAGCAGACGACATAATTTCAGTAGACGTTGTGGTTCGTAGTCGTACTTTGTTCTCGTAGAATCTAGATTGTTGAGGCTGGTGAGCCAAACAAGATAACCTGTTTTAACAACGCTTGTTCGTTGCATTTTCTCTATCGTTTTAAGTCTTCCTGTTTGGCATGTTTCATTTGTGTTGAAAAACAACAACAAAAGCTGCGGACATTGCAATTATAATTAAGACTCGTTCACGCATTATTGTTATTTTTTTAAATATTTACTATTTTTAGTTGCTATAATTAAATTTGTTTCTACAAAAATCAGAAAACGCTTTTCAAGAGCAATAAGCACAGCCACAGGTAAGAATCATCGTGTATTTTTATCCTACTACTACTACTAGTTAGTGTCTAGGTACCTAGTTCAGTAGTTAATGTTTACTTTAGGCAGATCGGTAACAATATTTTTATTTTTCTGTTTCGGTTTTTAAAAACTTGACTAGGGCGTTTTTTAGTGCTGTTTTACTAGCTCTTTTACCCTAAAATTAAACAATAATTAACGAAATATTCCATATTATTATTGTGGAATATATTTTTCGACAAATTATTTTTCATCGTGAAGTATCTTAACATAATTAAACTTCGTGCTTTCGGGTTTTTTTATATAGTTTTAAATAATAAGCTATCAAAATTCCTATATTAGGCTTCCGTACACGCACATTAATCAGTAAGAAAAACCCAAATAAATATGTATTAAACTATTAATTATAAGGTGCAGAAACCTTTGAGAATGGATGTTCTAAAATTATAACACACACATTAAATGATTAAGCCTGTTAAGGCATGTCCAGTTATGTACCAATTTCAGTTGTAAAGACATGGAACATTCTATGCCGCGTGTGTGTGAGACAGAAAAGGGACTTAAGTTCTCTTAGGATGTTTTTTTTTTTTTTTACATGTGTAGCAAAATGTTAACGATGGTTCAGAAGAGGTGTAATATCGGTAAATTATTACACTATCTTAGGCTCTGTCTTAGAAACACAGATATCTTGGTTTTTCTTACACCTTATTAAGTTTTCTAGGCCATGACAGAGGGATTTACAGGAACGTAATCTTTCCTTGTTATTATTCATCGAAATCATTAGTAGTGTTAAATAACTCGCACAGTCATAGCGCATGCAAATAAGGAGCATGGAGAACAAATGTGTTCTTGGTTCTGTGATTAGTGTTCGTCGTTGAGGTTTTTATGACTTACCGTTTGGAGTCTTGTATGAATTGCTCACAATTGTATTTTTGTTATCTTGAATCAAATATTCACGGGAATAATTTCCATACCAGTCCCACCCGTCTAGTTATAATGGTTCGAAATTGTAAGAAAAGAAATATGACAATGTCGACTATTATTATTAAGCCATTTTATGTTATTAATCTAATCGTCTGGTGGGTTACAATGATATAAACGGTTTTATTAGAATTTTCCACTACATGTAAAATACGAACCTAATGAATGAAACAAGATAAGTTGAGAATTTTGTCAACATTTTCACACTTAAAATGTTGATCGACTTCGACAATGACACTAATTAAGAATTACTGTTTTTTTTTTAATATTAAACAGCGAGTGTTACAGCTTAATATCATACTCTAATACAGACAGTTTGGCGGTAATTTTATTTCTTATGTGCCGTGATAATACCATGTCTGTATTAAATTACAAGTATTTATTTTTACAAGTAAATTTTCTTGGAGACGTCATATTTTACTGTCTCTCATTAGGCCTAATTGGAATATTATAAGGAAATATACGATTCTCTGAACCTTTACCTCTTTCTTTCTGTGTGACTTAGCGTCTGTGTTGCATCCTGAAATACCGGAAGTTACGTATACAGTAGCGTTCCCGAAAGCAAATTCCTCGAGCCAACTTTCTATTTTGTTTAAATGAAACTGTTTACCAATTGCACAGTTGTGAAATGTTCAGTGCTATTTAAGATTTCATTAACTATCTATTTGTGCTTGCTATTGATAATTAAACTGTTCAATTGAAGGTGTCGTTACAGTCAGAGAAAGTCTTTTAATACATAATTAGTTTCTAGGAGCACGACTTAAAAAAATCTTCTACTTCTTGTTTGATGTCGGGCAATCTAACCGATTCAATAACAACGAAAAATTAAAAAAACACGTGAAAACAGGCTTTAGTAACAACGCTATCGTCGTAAGGTGTTAATAAGTAAGTTTCTGTTTTTTATATAAATGCTTAGAAAACTTTGTTTCGTAACATCACCGTAAAAATACTTATTAAAATATTTTTAAGGAATTGTAAAAATAATAATAATAATAATCATACCAAAATATCGTATGGAAGAAATTTGTTTCTGCAGGAAGAACCTTTACACTAGATGGCGCAACACACAAACACTCGTGGATTCAGTCATATTGACGGTACTGTTACTTATTGCTGAATGATCGTAGTTTAACCACGAAACACATCTTACAGTTACATAAGGTATAGAATTCAAACACTGGTAGCTATAGTTTTTAACGCCAAGGTTAACAGTAAAGGTACAGAGTTGCATTTTTTTATTTAAAAAAAAAGAGAGAGAAAGATAGACATCAACACGACGTTATGGAAGTTTCTCATAATGTTAATGTATATAGTTGAAGTTTAAAATCCTATAGCGCTCCCTGGGTGGGACAGGGGTAAGTCTACGGATTTATAACGTCAAAATCAGGGGTTCGGTGGACACAGCAGATAGCCTGATGAAGCAAAAAAAAAAATCCCATCAAAGTAAACTGTCATTGGAAATGTAATATGCTAAGTTAAGTAGGTCAACAGGCAGAAAGATATTGTAGTATTTTGCAGCAAAATGATATATTTTAACACCAAAACCTACTGTAAATAAATTGTTCTTCTTCTATGCCAGCTTTGTAGGAACCATTATTTACTACTTTCCGCCATTAAAGGTCAAAAAGCGGATAAAAGAAACCTCTTGCGAGGACTTTTATGGTTTGAAATGCGTGTTCAAATTTTTGCTTCACGTGTGAAATTTGTTACCGCTACGCGTTTTCCGTTTCATAGTGTCAGGAAAACCGTAATATGGAAAGCGTTAGAATATATTTGGTTGTATTACTAAAAATTGTATTTTTACTTGGTAATCTTAAATGAATATTTCTAAAATAACTTCATTTTTTAAATAAATATGTGATTGTATGTTACTTGAAATTGGGAGCAGTATGAGCTCCAAGACCGCTTTCATTTATCTCTTTTTGTGATATAAAAGGTGGTTGTAAATAGTGCTAACTAGTTATAGCGTTGTAACTAGTGCCTTTGGTAATAGCCCGTATCGAAACAGGCTTAATCTCTGTAATTACGTGTAATGTGACGTTATAACAATGCATACGCAGTGTTACGTGAGCGTACAAAGTTTTGGGGTTGCAATAATAGGAAGTGGAGTGATGTGGGAAAGCATGTCTAGTAATGAAAACTATTTCAAATTATAAATATAATACCGATATCTTGAACTCGTGGAGAAGAATTTCATAAAGTTGAATATATCCACTAGATAACAATAAATAAGAAAAGTTTAGTTTTATTTCTCACAGACCGTCCTCTTAAAACTTTTAATTGTTTTCATCTTCCTATTGAATTAAAGTTTTGATTTTACAGTTGTATCCCTAAAACATTTGTATGCTTGATTTATCAGTCTTTGCATGCTTTTGCTTCCACATATGCTCAACTACTGAATTGCAACGACAAGGACAAAATTACACATTGGGCTATCTGTACTTTACCAACCACGAGTATCGAACCCAAGCTTTAGCGTTTTTAGCTTTCAGGTTTTTCCACACTAGCACAACTACAGAAGACGAATACATTTCACTGGTTAAAATATCAAGTGTCGCTCGATTAGACTTATGACAAGATTCGAAAGATGTAATGCATTTTGCGAATGTAATGTGTAATTGGCTGCATAAGGCGTGGCGTTTTTCTTGTTTTTTTAAATAGTAAGTAGCATATGAGTTTTGCTAGAATGCGGTAAATAAATTAACACGTACATTCGACACAAACAACAGGAACGGTTAAGGTGACACTGAATGCAAGAGGAAACTTTAATTATGCAGCTTCTATAACAAAATTAATAGCTGATTTATTAGGCTGAAATTCGAAGTTACTTGGTGTTTCGAAAACTATCGCTTCTTATTCTTTTCTCATAAATAATCTGAAGTTGTATATGTTTATTACTATTTTTTTTTTCTGAGGAAACTGGCCTTCCGCCAGAACAAAAATACCCCTTCATCATGACTGAGGCAGCGTGTGCCTGAACTTCCACTAATTCAAGTTCTACGGGCTAATTTCTCAGTATTCGGAGCACACACACGTTAAAACGATTTAAAATTGTACTTCACAAGTTGCAAAATTAGGTGAAATGTTGGAGAGAAAAAAAACGCATCTAACATTTTGTTCTAAATACTCCCAGAAGTTTATGATGTGGAAATCCACAATTGGAACAGAACGCACGCTTCTTATTCTTCCGAATTACATCGATAAAAAATCATTGTCTGCATGATAATTGGCAGCGGAAACATTTCATGTTAATGAATAACTAGTCAATTAATGTGCAATTATATATCGGGAAATTTATCATTGTATTTCAGTTATCGACGTGTAATCTTCTGTGTGTACTATTCTGTTCAGTTAGAAATTAAAAGCTCTGTTTATTCGTAACTGTTCACCTGACAAAGATTAAAATTAAATACCTTATATAAGGATCTAATTTTTTGGGTTCTAGTGATTTCTAATTTAAAACACAATTTCCACTTCGCTCTGCATTACCAGCCCACAACTGCTGAACTTCGTGTGTTTATGTGCGTGTGATGTTTTCATATCCACCCCAATAAACATTCCCCACAAACACATCACTCGCAGCAAAAGCAAAAGAACAAATAGGAGGCCGGACAAGCTCACCTGACGCCCAGACAATAGCAGCAGGGGCAGGTGGTCGCCGTAATTATACTATGCAGATCTAGCTTGGGGAGGAGATAGAGCATATCTCTGGAAAACGGAAGGAAAGGGTAAGAACATGAGCATAAGAATGGCACGTGGTGTCACTGAACTTGGTCATGCTTCTGGGATGGGTTATGTACCACAGTCTGATTACATATTGTGCCGTGGGAGAAAGGAACATTTGCTCACCTGTTGCAGGCGGGGAATAAGATACACCTTAATAAGAGTGAACTTAGTAATAAACAGAGATAAAAAATTATGTTATCGCACAGTGTAAAGTTGTGGATTTCAGTTATTTTTAGTGATATCATAAAGCAGGCTTTGAAACCCATGTTAGCAGTCGACTAAATAAAGTTATCAA